ACACCCTCAGCCCTATTTTGTGTTTAATTTAGAGACAGGATCTCGCTGAGTTGCTTAGCATCTCAAAGTTGCTGAGACTGGCTTTGAACTCACGATCCTCCTGTCTCAGCCTCTCAAGCCTCTGGGACTAGGGGTATGTGCCACAGCACCTGGCATCCCCAGCCCTTTTTACTTTTCATTTTGAGACAGAGTTTTGCTAAGTTGCTTTGGGTCTCACTGAGTTGCTGAGGTTGACCACCATCTTGTCATCCTCCTGCCTCAGCCTTTTGCGTCTCTAGGATAGCAGAGTGCCACCATCCCTGGCTCACGGAAACTGTCCTGCTCCTGCGGTGCCTCCGTTCCTAGAACAGTGCCTGACACACAGTAGGTGCTCAATAAACACTGTGGCCAGGTGGAATTGTCACCCAGTGGTACAGCTCTTGCCCAGGATGTGTGAGGTCCTGGGTTCCAGCCCCGGCACCTCCAACAAAACCAAATGACAACTCTCCAAAGCCACGAAGATCACTGGGTTTCCACTTAGGGCAGACGCTCAGGTACAGGCATCATCCACTCCTGAACTCCGAGTTTGCGATTTCCCTTCTCTGTTTCTTCCATCAGAGGCGATGCATGTGCTCTTCAGGATCTTGACAGCATAGAGCCCTGGTCACACCAAGGAGACACCCAGAGTCCCAGGCCCATATGTGGAGTCCACACTTGCAGGGCAGCCAGGGCAGGGAAAGGACTCCATGCTGGGCACCTGGGGGAGGGGATGTGAAACCCTGGTGATTCAGAATTAGCCCAAGAGAATCAGGGCCAGGCGCAGGGGTGCACCCCTGTAACCCCAGCACTTGGGCCAGGGCTCAGGTGGGAGGATCACCCTGTATCAAAATAAGGTAAAAATAAATAAAAACAATTAAAAGGATGGGGGACATGGCTCCATGGTGAAATGCCCCTGAGTCCAATCCTCAGCACCAGAAGGAAAACAAAACAAAAACGAGTAGATGCCCTGAATGACGCTCCAGGTGAGACTGTTCCTTCAAAAGCTCAAGGACAGACCGGGCGGCCTGGTGGCACATACCTGCTGTCCCAGCAGCTTGGGGGGCTGAGGCTGGAGGATCACCCACTTCAAAGCCAGCCTGGGCAACTCAGCCAGGCCCTGTCACAAAGCAGAAAGTAAATGGGGGCAGGGGGTGGACTGGGG